TTTGTACTAAAGTATGATTTATCGCTCTGACGATGTCTGCCACGACATGGTACATGAAAGCCTAGCACGGGTTCATCGGAATCACATAATAGCCATTCCAAGAAGCCCTTGCAACCAACTTTTTCTTCGAAACGAAATGGCATATCTCATCAAATCACCAAGGGATTCTTCTAAGCCCCCTAACCTAATCAAAACGATAAATATAAGCAAATATAAGTATGCTTCATCGACAATCCCACCATTGAATGTGATATGGGAGAATGCCTGGGCTTCTCTGAAATTCACATCTGCCCTGGGAACCAAGGGCATTCGGTGCAGAGCTTACACGCTGTGCTGTCATGGTTAGAGTCTCTCTGTGGACGTTGATGAGCCACATGCAAGGTTTAAACTGCACTTTAGTCAAGCCTGGATGAGGATACTTTTGGGGAAGCAAGGCTGTGTGAATTTCAACAAAAAAATGTAAAGTATACTCATATAATTGTGGGAAAATTCAACTACCAGTCCTTCATCACCTTAAACGAAACAGGGTGAAGGCATCTCATTTGCTGAGAAATTTCGCCTAATTGGGCGAACTCTCCAGTTTTCGTGAGTCGTTCAGCCACCTTATCGGCTACTCGTGTCGGACGTATCTAGTCCCACTTTATTTTTTTTCATGTAGATGAAGAAAGATAAGGACCGACGGATTGTACGAACAAGTTCTCATTTTACTGTCCGGCTAGTCCGATGATTCTGTTCATGCCACGGTACCTTATATTTTTCTGCTTCTCTCTTTGTGTCCCTGTCCGTCTGCCCTGTGCTCAATCCAACGGCGGATGTGGCATCTATTTTCCGATGTATCGACGACTGGTGACGACGAGGTTTTGAGTCACAGAGTCACAATCTTAAATAACTATTTGATTTGGTGTCATTGCCTCTGCCCTATCGGGCCGGACAAAAATCGACGTCAATGTAGGCGCATTCTTGTCCACAGCTTGGCTAACTTTTCAGGCCGACGCGGCTGAAGCGGAACACAACTCTCTCGACGTCCAATCAATGGCCTAGCTTGGCCTGACTTATTTTGCCGGCTGGTCTGGCCGATCGATAGTGAGACTACGTTTGTGCTGGCCTTTTTCGTTCATTTGGCCAGTCGGACAGGCCGATTTGGCCCAAATTACGAATTCACCTGAACGGTCTGGCCCGTCGGACCGGACCGGACCGGTCCAGCCGGCCTGATCTGTCTCATCCGGCCGTGATGACAGGAGAATTGTGAGAACCGGTAATGAAGGCAGCCCCGACCAATGGCTGGCCAGCCTGTGCACACATTCAAGCCTGAGTTCACACGCTTCGGTCCCGGCCTGGCGCAAGACTGTCCGTTGACCCAGCCTTTCCCGCCTGCACTGGTCTTGTCAGCCTTCACAGTTGAGCAGACTTGGACTGGATTGAGCTCATTTGCATTTCTAGTCAACGAGTGATGAGAGTTTACGGTAGTCGAATGCCAATCTCGCGTAGTTCATTTGGCCTGTTGTCGTTAAGATTGACAGGATCATTCTGGTTGGTGCTTTTCCCTTCGATCTCGATGAAAACGTGTCTGACAGACGTGAATTGCCAGTTGCCAGAGTTGGAAAGGTTGAGAATAATGTTATTTCAAGACAATTGTCCATTACATTGGAATTGGTTGACATTTCTTTCGCAATTTTAAAAAAATGGGTTCAAGGAAAACAACGATTTACGGCAAAACAGGAAGTTGGGTAGCTCTTCTTCCAAGTTTCTTATGCTAACGTCCTGCCAGCTTCCGAAAAACATTAGCGACTTGCTAAGGAAATGGAACGTTAGTTCAGTGTATACAGAAAGATGAAAGCCTTGCTCGGTCGCGCCTCATTTTAGAAAATCATCAGACCCACTCTGAAGACCAGGTCTTTGTAAAGTTGTCTGCTAACGCCACAGGGCCCATGTGGTGAAGTCTTGTCGACTCATGCATAAGAAGTTACAATAACAAAAGGCCGTCTGTAAGGGTTTATGGAATTAAAAATCGAAGTAGCTGAACCTATGTTCGCTACAGGACATCAGACAGAATGGTCTAAATTTTACTTTTCTGAGTAGACCTTCGAGAATACAAGTAGATCTTGAATAAGAACTCTGCTCACCTTATTTTGATTGAAATGATGAAGAACTGGCGCTTTAATTTTCCCACAATCATGTTAGTAGACCTCAAGTTTTCATTAAATTTTACAAATCCTTGCTTCTCAGAAGGTATTCTCATTTAGACTGGACAGTTATTTCGATCTCGCTTGACTTTCATCAGCACCGGGAAAAAAAGGACTTGCTCATCTTTGAAATTTACGTATGTCCTCGAACCAAGGGCACTCATGACAGTGTAACATAGTGGCTAACCTGTCGAGATTATACACTAAACTACCACATTCCGGATTCAAGTCCCGCTAAACAATGCTAACGAGACCAGTTCAGGCGAGGTCGAAACTACAGTCCATTTCTGCTTGAATGAGAAAATCTTTTGGAAAAGCAAGGATTGTGAAACGATTCAACTACCAGAGCATCAGCATCAGAAACTTTGAAGAAAATCTATCCAGGTTCCTGTTTTGCCTTAAATCGTTGTTTTCCTTGAACCTATTTCTTAAAATTGCGAAATAAATGTCAACCAATAGGGTGAATTTATCTCATATAACTGATCTATCGGTAGTCTCGAAAACTTACTTTTAAATGAAAAAAGTGACAATTATACGTTTTTGAGTTGAATATGCTTGCGTAGACTTTGAATAAAAGCTTTGGTCATCTCAAGTCGCTAAAGATGAAGGACTGAGAATGAGGTGAGTAGGCCTCACGATGCAATAGAATTTCCCTTCCTCTTGATTCTAAACGATATTCCCATCTAGGCTGGACAGGACTGCAGTTTATACCTCGCCTGGGCCTCGTCATCACCACTAATCTGGATCGAACTCGGCTTATCTTAATGCAACATATAATTTTCACTATTATGCCACATTGCCACGAATTTTGGATGGCAGAACTGAATTTCTAAGCAAGCTGGGCCTTTTCAAAATCAGATTTGATGTTTGAATTATCTCTGAAACAAAAATGCATTTGCCATTGCAGTCAACAACGTTAATTTTGTTCGTATTAAATGGGATTTCGAGCCTATCACTTGCTCTTGAATATGAGCTTTTGGGGTGTTGATTAGACCCAGGCGAGGTGAAAATGACATTCCAGTCCAGCCTGAATGAGAATACCCTTTGGAAGCAAGGCTAGATGAAATTCAATTGTCTCTTTTGGCCTGCTCATCTCTTTGTTGGTAAATTCTCATGCATTCCTTCGTCACCATAAGCAAACTAGTGGGACTAGATCTGTTGAAACTTCTGAATTGGAATCCAGGTCAATCGTCCTGGTGCAGGCACCATCCAGAATGATCCAGCAAAGCCAAAGGTTATATTGTCATTCGGAATTCGCTGTCGGCTTCTGGTGGAATTGAGCATCGCAGCACTTTAGCGCTTATCTCACTTTCACTCGAAATGAAGATGAGCTCAACACTAGTAAACCAAGAGCATCCTTACACAACTCAACTTTGCCTCGTATATGCTGATGAGAAACAGCTCTTTTCTCGCCCAGACGCCGTCGTTGGCCTGACGCAAATTGATTGAGTGGAACATGTTTGTCCCGTTGTCTTCTCTGTTGGTCATTTGGGGTTTTCCAATATTCTTCTCCCATCTCTACTCCATCCTATCTGTTGCTGGCGCAGTTTTGTTGAATTTTTTTCGATTTTGTTAATATTTTATCTTTACTCATTTCGTCACCTCACGATTGCGTGCATCAAGGGCCTCATCTCTGGCTCAGACCTCGGTATCTTCTGGTACCTTTGCTTTTACTGCATCAGAGTATTCATCTGATCGGCCTCCTCTCTTCTGATCCACTCAGATCGAATGG